CTCTCTCAATCGTTTTCACTCTATCTCTTCTTATCAAGAATCTCTCCCAAATCTCTCTAAGAATGTCAAATCTCTCCCAAATCTCTCCAAGTATGTGAAATATCTCCCAAATATCTCTTTGTGTGAGAAATCTCTCCAAGTATGTGAAATCTCTCCCAAATATCTCTTTGTATGAGAAATCTCTCCAAGTATGTGAAATCTCTCCCAAATCTCTCTCAAAAGTTTCCGTAACTTTTTGAAGTCATTTGGGTCATTCCAACCCTTAACCGGGTCAAAAACGGCTTAAAACGGGGTAAAAACGAGTAAAATAGGCTTAAGGACCCGAAACCCTCTTACAAGAGGCGAAACCTCTTAGAACCGAAGGTCCCTATAGGGACCGAACCTGCTAAGAACCGAAACCAAGAGGACCGAATATAGGAGACCTGAACCCGAAGGTCGTCTCAGGGCCGAACCTCGCCCAGGAAGAACCGACCCCGAGAGGTCCTTGCAGGCCCGAACCTCGCACATACACCCGAACCCGAAGGCTCCTGGAACCGAACTCTAAGGTACTGTTCATTCGGGCTATTTCGCTTCCTCGCCACCCTTCGCTCCCTCGCCTCCTTTCGCTTCCTCGCCTCTCTTCGTTTCCGGCTCAACATCAGCATGGACCGAACCTCGACCTAGGGACCGAACCTCGGCCTAGGACCGAGAGGTCTCGCTGGGAATGCTTTTCTTCCCGGTTTTCGCGTAGTTTTGCGTTTAAGGCCCGTTTTTAATTATTTTAACGCGGGATTTGCACCCAAAATCATATTTTAACATAATAAACCCTAAATATTCACAATTTAATCATATTTTCATAAAAATCTTTATTTAAATAATAAAAGCAAGTGGGTAAAGTACAAAGAGGTGGAGTGTTGACTTTGCTTTACCTTATGACACAAGCAACCACTCCCACACCCACTCTATGACCAGCCACACATCCCCACCATACCTAGGTCACATCAATGTCCCTTACACTCAATTACCACCCATTCCCACGTTTTTGAGAGCTGAATATTCATCCTCTCTCTTCACTTCTCTCATTTGCTCTCATTTCACCAAGAATCAAGCACCACTTTTCTCTCAAACTTCTTCTCTCCATTTCATGTCTCCAAGGCTGATTATCAAGTGTTATTCCACTCTTGGTAATATAATTCATCCTCCTTGTGATTATTACACTTCATTCTACTCAAATCATTGATTGCTTACACAAACTCCATAACTATGATGTTAGATTCTCGAAAATCTTCAAGGCATCTCCAAGTATTCTTGGGTTAAACACTTCCATTCTTCAACAATCATCTACTGAAATCACTTAAGGTGAGTTCATACCCATACATTTTCATGTTTTCTCAAGTTTTCAGGGGGGGATACAAGTTAAAACACCAAGAACATAACTAAAATTTTCTAACAGCCTTCATCAGAAAAGTTCAACTCCATTCACGGACTGTTTTGGGCATCTTAGACATTTTTGTTTTCAAAACTGTACAAGGTGAAAATAGTTCAAGTTCTTAGCTTTAAAATGACTACGTGCACATCTCCATACGATTTTTCTACAATTTATGGTGATTTTTACAAAACTGCCTATCATTTCAAACAACAATCCGGACCAGTCTGTGATTATGGACTTTTTCACCCAAGTTGGAGGTCATTAAAAATCGTGATAAAAATTATGAGTAAACTAGACACATTTTGTGAACTCTCAGAATTTACGGATCTAGTTTTCGACTTCGTATGGTTCTTCTATGATTTTTCCAAAACAGTGCAGAATGGCTAAAGTTATCCAACAGCATGTAAATATCATAACACTTTGTATTATGTTGAGCAAAGTGTATAATCATAACTTCTAATTATTGAATGTGTTTCTTTGTTAGTTTATCACCATGAACTAAAACTAAGTCATTCATAATAAATATTATACATTCATTTTAGAACACGTATAATAAACTATAAAAAGTATAGTTTAATGGATTCATAACATTAATGCATTTCCATAAAAGAGTTCTTACATATTACAAACGTTTTAGATAAACTATAATAGGTATAGTTTACAATACATCACACAACACACTCGTACAAAAAGGGTACGTTCATACAGAAAAGATTTACATTCACACACATTTCACGTAAACTTGTTAACCTAAATTGTGAGACATTCTCTCCCCGTACGTCCGAGTGCGGGATATAATTCCTGGTACTTATAATCAGAATCTCCTGGAGGGAGAACGTGATACTTGTATATAGATCTATATTGGGTTTGACACCCAACACCTTGCTGCTAGCTACAGTGGGACCTGCAGGTCTACGGGTGACAAATGTCATTTCAGTTTCGCGACGCCTGAGAAACGTTGTGGCAGGTTCACATAGTCATAGTATGATTATAGCGACTCACATAGGGATATAACAATCCATAAAGTTTACGGGATTTTATTTATAAAACCTAAATGGGTTTTATGTCGATTTAAAATCACTTTTTATCTCAATGAGTACAGATATTACTGTACACTTTCGGTTTTGGTAATTATGACTACACATCATTTGAAACCACATTTATACCTTTAAGTATGGCCAATACTTGTTATTTCTCGGTCCTCGGATTTAGAACTACATATACATAAAGTATTTACAAACATAAGAACATACGGAAATTTCATTTAATTCAAACGCGTCCATGTCCATTTAAACACATAACATTTTCTATTAGTAAGAAAGGTTACTTCTACATTTTGGTTTTCGGTCATAAGACTACATTACACAGATTTTAAAGAAAATATCGGAGTTTCTGGATACATATTCGAACGCTTTTACAAGGAAAACGGTTTACTTTTCTAACGAAATCTCTTATGAACTCACCAACCTTTGTGTTGACACTTTTTCAAAACTACTTGTATTCTCAGGAATTCAGTGAAAACAGGAAATCAACAACGTTTTGAGGATGGGACGATAAATCGTCAAACAGTTCATTTTGTATCATAATGTAATTGATGTGAATCATGTCAACATGTACTTTGATGTAACTTTTTCAATTATAATTGTGATGGTTGTATTTACTTTGAGCACTATTATACTCGTTGTTGTGATACTCTACATGAAGTCCTCCACCCCCGGACATTTCCGCCATCCTTGGTTTGGGGGTGTGACAGAGTCTTAAATGTGTGGTGGTTGGTAGATTATGGGTAAATATTGTAAACAACAGGGACCATTCATGTAATTTATTTTAAAAAGAAACATGTCATGTTCTTATTGGATATCACAAATTAGCCTTAATTATGCATTTTCTATTGATCTCTTCCCCCACACACACACACATATATATATATATATATATATATATATATATATATATATATATATATATATATATATATATATATATATATATTAATTAGATTCCATAAAAACATGGGCATAGACAGCCCATAGCCTGACAAGCCCTGATCATAATGATTGTACTAAAAAATAGAAAAAAACTAATGCATATTATAAATCAAAACAAATTTTGGTTCAAATAAAAAAAATACAAATCTAAAACCATATTGTTTTTAACTTGAAAAAAAACAACTAAAAAAACAAAAAATAATGAAGAACCAAGTTTTTAAAGAATATTAATCTTTTATGGAGAATTAGATCAATTCATCACCACATTTCATAATCATGATCCGGTACATATCTCCTTAATCGGAGTAATTCATCACCACATTTCATAATAGGGATGAGCATGGGTCTGTTTGGGTCGGTTTTTGGCTAAAACCAAACCAAACCGTAGAAAGTCGGATTTTTGATTTTTAAAACCATTGAGGTTCGGTTTTTGCATGGGTCGGTTTTTTCGGTTTTCCGGGTTGGGTTTATGGTTTTTCGGTTTTAAACCGTGGGTTTATGAGCTCCTGTTTTTTTCTAGTCTTTGGGTTCAAACCTAATGAAAATACATTGCGATAAATACTATTGTATCTACTTTAAATATACTAAAATAAAGAATACGAATTCTAGTATTATAAAAACATAAAAAATGTTCAAAAGATCAAAGTTTAACACCATTAACACTTTGTTGAAAATAAATATAAAATATTAAAGAGATAAAGTCTAAAGTCTAACACTAAAAGTGTAAATCATAATATAAATAATATATGTGGGTCGGTTCGGTTTTTATGGGCGGTTTTATACGTTAAAGCCGAACAAAACCATTATTTTTTGGTTTTCGTAAAATTCAAACCTAAACCGTCGGTTATTGATTTGGTTTCGGTTTTTCGGTTTCGGTTATGTCGGTTTTTTTCGGTTTTTCGGTTTCGGTTATGTCGGTTTTTTTCGGTTTTACGGTTTTCGGTTCGGTTTTTGCTCATCCCTATTTCATAATCATGATCCGGTACATATCTCCTTAATCGGAGTGTGGAGGTAACCCCTTCCTAAATCATGTCATCGTAGTCTTACAAAAGTAGTTACTTGATTGGAATAAATGTTGAATAAAAAAAAAACATTTTGTATAAGTTGAAGTAAAATCTGTTTTTTTTAAACGGTTAATCCATAAAAGAAATGGTTATCCCTTCTAAGCCCATAAAATCTATCAAAATCACTTATTGGTGCTCGGTACGGAGCATTTGAGAGATTATAGTTTCTAGCATTTGACAAAACGTTTCATTTTGAACAGAAAGTCTCGTTTAACAGTACAAGCTTTCAAAACTTCTAACGTTCCAAATTTAAAAGTTACTTAATAATGTAAAGTTTAACAAAATACTACAACCTATAAGCTACGTGTTATCCGCTACTACCTAATTTTGTCATGCCACCAAAACCAATATAAAAAAATAATAAATACCAAAATTGTTTTCACAAAAAAGAGTTTCCGTTTTAACCAACTAATTAATATGCACCTCTACTTAGTACTAGTTCAATTTTATTTTTTTATCGGTTCATAGGAACTTTAGGCACACCACAGCCCACCACCAAAGTTGTAGGCCGCCAAGCTTCACTAGATTCTTGTGGATGGTATTCACCTAATCCACTAATTCATGGTGGGAAAAGAAACAAATTCCATTCTCAATTCTCAATTCCCCTAAACGGATATTCCTCGTCATATTCATTTCCCAAAATCAGTATATTCCTTTTTAAACTACTTTAACAAACAACCACCCTTGGATCACTTTTCAATCCTCACGTGACAACAAACCAACGCCTCAGATCAAATCCCACGATAAATATTCCTTTGGCATCTTAAAAACATCCCACTTTTTCAATTCCTATAAATACTTTCACGTACTCGTAGTTTACTATTATACCAAAATCCTCATTCTTTTCTTGTGTTCATTATTCAACAACAATGTCAGGAATTGTAGTGATTTTTGACTTCGACAAAACAATCATCGACATTGATAGCGATAATTGGGTAGTCGATGAGTTGGGTGCAACCGATTTATTCAACCAACTTCTTCCCACTATGCCATGGAACTCCGTTATGGTATTTTAGTTTTTTATTTTTCAAGATACGTATAAATATTTATATATATTTTTTATCTTTAAAGTATTCGTTTTGAACAGGATAAGATGATGAATGAGCTACATTTGCAAGGTAGGAGTATTGAAGATATTGAAAATGTCCTTAAACGTACCCCGATACATCATCGGGTTGTTCCTGCCATTAAAGCTGCATATGCTTTAGGGTAACTTTATTTTTTCTTTTGTTTGGATTTGTAATAGTTATTGTTTTGTATAAAAATGACTAACAATATGTAATGAATTTATTTCAGATGTGATTTGAGGGTGTTAAGCGATGCAAATTTGTTCTATATAGAAACTATACTTAAACATCTTGGGATACGTGAATGTTTCTCAGAGATTAATACGAACCCGGGTTTTGTCGATGACAAAAAAAAGTTAAGGATTTTGCCGTACCATGATTTCCATGTTTTCTCTCATGGTTGCACCCTTTGCCCTCCCAACATGTGCAAGGTCAGTTTTTAGTTATCTGGTAATTTTATAATATTTAAATCGTACACTTAAGTTTATGTTTTAATATTTTTCGTTGAAAATTTATCTAACAGGGTAAAATAGTAGAAAGAATTCAATCCGAGTTAGCAAAAGAAGGAAAGAAAAGGATTATATATTTAGGAGATGGAGCGGGTGATTTTTGCCCGAGTCTAAAGCTAGGGGAAAATGATTGCATGATGCCAAGGAAAGATTTTCCTGTTTGGGATTTGATATGCAAAAACAGAAAACTTCTAAAAGCTGAAGTACATGAATGGACCGATGGAGAAGACCTCGAGCGAGTTCTTCTCCAACTCATTGGGAAAATGATGTTGATGGAAGATGAGAACACAAATCAAATGTTTGATTGCAAGTTTGAGACAATTGCACATGAAGTTTTGCCTAAACCTCTCTATGTTCCTTAGAAATCCATATGTAACTATCTAAAGATTATTGATACTTTTTAAATAATGTATGTTTTTTTGACTGTGTTTATACGGAGTAATGCTAAACTTATTGATCTATGTTTTTATTGTTATTCTATATTCTATAGCAAAATTATATATGAGAAAATAAAAGAGACTTAAGGTCACACGGTTTGTTTCCTTTTCACCGTGCGATTTGCTGATTAAGACAAGAAACTATATCAGAAAACACCACATATTGGATGCCGTTTAGGTGAAAGGTGTCCCTACTTCATGTAGACTTCCCTCACTATTTTTCATTCTCTGATTGGCCAGTTTAGGTGAAAGGTGTCCCTACTTCATGTAGACTTCCCTCACTATTTTTCATTCTCTGATTGGCCAACAGCTAAAAAATTGTATTTTTTTTTTTAGTTTTTACAGTATTTAATTAAATTATATATATGCTAAAATTTTATCAAAAAATATATTAAAATTTAAAAATTTATAATTTTAATTTTCTACAAAAAAAAGAGTATAGTATTGATGTATAATATATTTTTTTTAAATAAAAATATAAATAAGACGAAGTAAAAGTTAGCGAAAATATTATGTTGCAGAGATGCAAGAAGAAAAAATGAAAGGTGAAAGTAGGGGTGAGTATGATGCGGTTTGGTACGGTTTTAAGATCAAACTGAACTGCAAATCATATGGTGCGGTTTTTGTATTCTTAAAACCGTTGGGTGTGGTTTTGCAATGGTTCGGTTTTTCGGTTTTTAAATGAGGTTTTAGTTTGTATCGGTGTGGGTTCGGTTTTAAAACCGTGTTTAGACTTTGGTGCAATTTTTTATGTTTATTGGTGCGGTTTTTTAAAACTATAAGAACTAAAAACCATGTGCATGTAAGCTTGTATTATATTGTTTGTTTGTTTTTTTTAAACCATTCATTTTCAGCTCAAAAAAAAAATACATAATCAAAAATTGTAATTCGCTTAAAATACAACATGTGATTACTCTCACAGACTAATTAATAATTGAAGGTTGGTTGATTTTGACTTAATTTCTTACAAACTTATTACATGTAATTAATTAGTACGATTGACTAATAATAGAATATTTCTTTTGCATCCTATATAGTCTTACACAAACACAAAATAAACATATAATAAATATATTTTTGTTTATAAGTATTTTAAATAGCATGTATATAATATACATTGATTGATTTATTACTATACACATTTGCGGTGCAGTTCGGTTTTGATTGATTTATTACTATACTCGTGGCCTTCTTCGCGCTCATTCTTCAATGGCTTTTGACAAAGATGAAGTAATGTCAAACTTGAAATATTTTGAGCAAAATAAAGATGGAAATTCAAATGAACAAAAGGAAAAATTGATTTGCGATAAACTAGATCTAAACAGAAGCCACAATGAAAACCCTAACACCTTGTTCCCAAGTTCTACTTAAGGAGAGATATGGATGGATATGGAGGGAAAGTGAGGGATATAGAAGGAAAATTGTGTTCCCGAATTTCACTAATGGAAGGAAAGTGAGGGAAAGGAAAGGATTTTGGATCTATATTTTCCTTCCAAAATTCCCTTCAAAATTGGACGGATTTAGGAAGAAAGTAAGGAAAAAGAAAATCTTTAAGTTTTATTTTTTTTTTCCTCCTAACTCAGGAACACAAAATCTTAACATTTTCCTTTCATTTCTTTCGAACTTGGAAACACGGAATAAATTTCTTTCCTTCCTCTCCCTTTCAGTCTATCTGTATTTTCCTTCTCTTTCAATTATTAAATTTACAAAAAAATACTAATAATAATAAAAATAAAAAAAGAACTTGGGAACAAGACGTAAAGACTCGTGCTCAGTTTTTAATTAAGTAAAAGAAAAAGGAAAGGGAATGGAAATCAATTACCTCCAAGGAAAAAAAGAAACCCAAGAAAAGTTTATGTTCTAGCTTAATATGGAAGGAAAAAAAATAAAAGGAAAAGGGAAAATGACTTGCAAGGGTAATTATATTTTCGTCTTGTTCACGTTTAGGTAACTTTATTTTTTTGTACACATGCGACCATTTAACTTGTTAAATGTGTTCAAATATTATCATCGTCACCTGCTATAGCAGATGACAATGGTAGTATGTGAATATATTTAACAAGTATAATGGTCAAATGTATATAAAAAAAAGTTGTCTAAATGTGAACAATTTTTTCTTTTTTACAAATTTATGAAGAATTTTTATAATTTCTTACAATATTTTTATGATATCTTTTCCTATAGGTTTTTCTAATACAATGTTTTAAACTTTACTTGTATTTTTTTTTCTAACTTTTTTTATACTTTCATATAATTTTAATACAAATGCTTTTAAGCCAAATATTTTATAAATATGTAAAGTTTTTCTTACAAATTTTTAACTTGTTTTTTTATATTTTCATACAATTTTTTTACAAATGTTTAACTTCTGATCATGCCCAATACCCGAAATGACCCACAAATGTGCTAAAAATGGCCTTAACCCATGAATAAGGATATCTAACACTAGAATGATCAAGGTAACAACTTGTTACCTTCAAATGGAAGCCAAAACGATGTGGGTGTTGGATCCATAAGCTCCTTCACGTTCCAAGCTTCTCAACCTTCAAGCTTCTTCAACAAATGCACCAAAGACACTCTTTTAGCCTCACAAACACAAAGGAGCAGTAAAGAACGATTATGGTTTCCTTCTCTGAGTAATGGGGTGATAAGGGAGGCCAAAGGATGCGGGTTAAGTCCTTTAAATAAGGGTGCAAACCCTAAAAATTAGAGGTTTCTCATTCAGCTACTACTCGTCGAGTTGGGGTCCTCCAACTCGTCAAGTAGACCTCATAAATCACGTGGGTTGGCTACTCTCTACACGACGAGTTGGGGCCTCCAACTCGTCGAGTAGGCTTCCTTATTTGCAATAAAATCCCTAAAATCACACTTCTAGAAATCGGGATGTTACACAAAAAATAAACAACATCTAAGTATAAGATTATTTATAATAAAATTAAAAAAAAATTGTGAGTTTAAGGTGGACATGACATTAGGCTTATACACAACACTTAATCTTTTATTATTAATATTATGTAATTACTACTTATTTTTTTAATGGAAATTATTGATATTGGTTTAAAATTTTAAGTTATGATCTTGATTAGTTTATCATGAGTTTCAAATATTATTAATTTTGTATGGTGATGATTATATTTATCTAACATTTGATATACATTATACCCGTTGATGTTTGAAATTATTAATTAAATACAAATTACATTAATTAAAAACATAGAAATTTAAAACCTAAATTACTAAAAAAACATAGAAAATTAAACTTAAATTAATAAAAGAACATAGAAAATAAAAGTTCAATATTAAAAAACTAGAACCTAGTTTCCATATTTTTCCCGAACTTATTGGATTAGAGATGTTATCAATTACATGTAACTAAGATTTGCAAATGGATCATTTGGAGTGTTTGGAGTGGATGAGATATTTTGATTTGGATCCATAGATCAAAGAAAATAAAGAAAATGGGAAGAGATTGTGTGTTTTTGTAGTGTAAAATGTATCAAAAATAAGTATTATTTATAGTTGTAGTATATTTTTTATTAAATTGAAAATGAAAAAGAAAAAAGAAACAAAGAAAACAGTCAAAAATCCGTTTCTAGCCCCTTCTTCTTCCTGATTGGTTGCCTTCGCGCGTCTTACCAGCCACATCACAACCAAGCCACTAGACATCAGGGCGGTGTTCACGCGTGACTTGGTTGTCCCACTTAGTACCACACATAGGAATATCTCTAATATAAGAGGGAATCCATTTGTCTTTCTTATTGTACATCTCATCCAACCATTTATTTTCTCTCATGTTGAATTCGTCCAAGATTAAATCCCACTTATGCTCAAATTCTATAGGTTCAAGATGTATACTCCAAACAATTTTATGTAATCATTTCTTGAAATCTGAATTTTCAACTACATCCGAAGAAATCTGTAATTCCAATTAGTAAGTTGTTAGTATACAATTTTTATTTTAAGAATAACATTAAATATAGAGTCAATCAATAAATTACTTTTGCAGTCACTTTGCTCATGATGTGCCATATACATAATCTGTGTGTACATTCTTGAAACTCTTTTGAAATGAAAGTACATAGAGCAAGATCCATGTCTGACAAAATCATGGAAGGAATTTTTCCATGTGCTTTAATAAAAGTTCTTAATAACCATGTATATGACTCTATTGTTTCATCCGATAAGAGTCCATCCCTAACATTAATTGTCTTGTCATGGTTGTTAATAGCAATGAAAGGAACAAAACTCATATTGTACCTGAAATATATATTATATTATATAAATTAATTAGTAATATAAATATAAAATTTTATATTGCAATGTACCTGTTGGTTCTGTATGTGGCATCTATTGAAATTACATTTGAAAACTTAGAGTAATTTTCTTTAACTGTTTCATCTGCCTAAAACATCGCATTTAGAACTTTATCACTTAGCTTATATTCAAAATGAAAATTTGGATAATTATCTCTGCGAATTTACAACTAGTCCACAACACATTGGGCATCATTAGGTCCAACTATATTGATATAATCTCTCCAAAAATTTTTGTAATCAATCTTGGATGCAGTTACATTATCATAGCCTCCTTTTAGAGTTGCTTGTAACGTGTGGGCTTTTGTAGCTCCAATGTTTAGAGTAGAAGCTTTCACAATAAGTACCTGATCAGAAATTGTGAGGTTTTGGCTTTTACTACAAATGTTTTCTTGATCAAAATCAAGTGGATGATTATGTATTGCCCGAAATTTGTATACTATAAAAGTATCACTTTTATGATCTTGTGAAAACCTATCATTGCCATGAAGCATGTTACCTTATGGTAACATTTTCTTTCTTTCTTTTTCATGAAGAATGTTACCTTATGATAACATTTTCTTTCTTTCTTTTTCAGACCCTTTGATGTAAGTGTATCAATGGATTTTTTCTTTGGTTGACCTACTTGTTGCACCTTACATGTTTTTTTGTAGAGTATAATCATCATAATAACTTGAAGATCCTAATCTAATTCTAAAGACTGCAGCTTTCCCATACTTCTGGTAAATTTCAATTGCTTCATTTAAAGATGGAAAAGTATATATTTTCCT